CGTTTTGATAGTAATCATTAGCCCTTTAGCTGACTTCGGGTTTCACAGAGAGAGAGGAGGAACATCAAAGTGACAACAAGTCGAGAGGATGGGGAGACAGAGTAATGATTCACAGATGCAAAACAGACAGACAGACACAAAGGCAGAGAAAAGGTAAGATGAGTACTGTGAAAGAGGTCGAATATGACATAGAGTGGGGTGATGGTAATTTGAAGTCAGAAGTCAACTGGCGAATAATAGACTTTTTTCCGTATGTGTATACGTTGCCTAGGGTGCACCACGTGGAGGTAAGTCTATCGCGCACTCCAATGTTAGATCTAATGAGTTAATAAATGAAAAGTAAAGAATCAGTGAATAAAAATCAATTAATTGTTATGCGTACACAGTGGTTAAGTATAATTTGGAATTATTTTCAGTAAAATTTGTTTTGGGTGTTGTCAATGGTAAGCTGACATGTTTGTCAATTTTCTTTCGCCTCTGTGAAGATCCGCTTCATCCGCTGATGTACCTTCTACCCGGCTGGATTTCTGGCACTTTGGATAACTTCTTTGCCATCTCATTTTACACCTACCTTCTATTCTTCTGGATTTCCATTTTTGATGCCCTTCGTAGTGTAAGTCCGTCTTCACGTTAACATTTTTCAATTTTTTTTTCTTCTGTAACTTGAACCAAGAACCAATTTATTCATCCGCTTGAATAAACAATTACGAAATTAAAGGTCATTTTCAATGAAACTGAAAAGAAAGCATGGAAAAATGTTAATTTCTCAAAAATTGCAATTTTTTTCCATTAATTTACATGCTTTCATCTTTCTCCTCGTCAAAGTTATTAACATCATTATCGCTACAATTAGTTTTATTCTCAAATCCCAATAAACGCGTTGTCTGGCCAATAGGAGAAGAATTTGTCGTTTGTGGATGATTGAGACGCATTGATGAGAAAATTTAGTGGCAGTTTGATCGTACCACAGACCAAATTCAGGTAGAAAATACGGAATGTAACACAGTGAAATGGTATATATGCATATGTATATGTGTTTGGTCATGAATGATCACTAAGTTAGATTTCATTATTTCCTCAATGCTACTGGTATAACTTTAGTTCAGGGGCTTAAATATAGCCAAACTTAGTTCTTTGTGGGAAAATGATTATCCAATTATAAGCATTATTTCTCAGTTTGAAATGTCATCTTTTTAACTCTGTGTGAATAAATATTATCCGCTCATCTGTCATTTGAATCTTGTCAAGTTGCTACAAAATACGAGGCTTTGGTTAAATTAATTAATTACTTAGGGTAGCAAAATCAGCCCTTCTTAATAAAAACCAAACAGTCCGTAAACACTGAACACTAAGCTGACAGGCATTTTCTCCATAAAGATATTTTTTAGTAATTTTAGTCAATAAATTAAACTACACTGCGTGTGATCTGTAATAAATGAAAACCCAATAGAGAAGCTTTCTTATCATCAAGCAATTAAGATGGAAACAAGAACAAACACGCATTTTACAACCAGAATCGGGTAACAGAAGTGCTTTCTCTAATTCATCAAGAAGGTTTCGGCATAAAGTCATATTTTTTCTGTATTCTATTTCGTCACAAAAAGTCGAGGAAGGGAGGGGGGGACAGAAGAGTAACTCACAGATGTAAAAGAGACAGACAGAGAGGAAGAGAAAAAGGTGTGGTGAGTACTGTGGAAGTGGTGGAATATGACATAGAGTGGGTTTATGGCAGTTTGAAGTCGGACGTCAACTGCAAGTTAATAGACTTTTTGCGTATGAGTATACGTTACTCAGGATGCACCACGTGGAGGCAAGTCTATCGCACACAACACTTTTCAATTGTAACTCTAAGAAAAGTTTTCTTAGCTTCTCAACTATTATTAATTACATATTTATGTTAAAAATTTAATTATTCACTCATTAAAGTTATTTACATTGTTAATTATTAATGTGGACCCATTTAAATTGTGACATTATCAAAGAATGTTGCCCAAATTATCTTATTTTGTATTTTTTTTCTTTTTATTACTGATTTTCATTTGAATAAAATTTTTTCTTATTTCTAATGAGTTAATTGAGAGAGTGATGGAATAACATCCAATTTGCCCCCTTAAGGTAGTGTCAGAAGTTAATCTAAATATTTAACCATTGCTTCGCGGCTCGCGATAATCTGCGATCCAGATCAAAGTCAAGGAATCTTCCTTTTAAATAGACCATTTCTGTTGGAGTAAGTGCGTTCAGTTTAGGATTGAAATAAGCGTGATTTGTGCGCACAAGTTGGTCCTATTTCCACAATGTAAGGCCTTCAAGCAGAAACGAACTTCCTACTTCAACCAATGTTGGTCATTTGCTCTACAAATGTGAAAGTCCACCTCTTTATCTGCAATGAAAGCATTACTGCCACTTTAAAATTTAATGATTTAATCTTTTTGGTTATTCAATAAAGGCTACAACTTAATTAATTCATGGGCATAAACTTCTTTTCTGATGCAAAAATGACTTTCTTAGTTTAGAAAGGATCGTTCCACCTCCTTAGACTACCTACTACCTTTGTGGGATGATAATGTCCCAAAAATCTAGAACCAGTTGATTGAATTACATGCTTGGTTGATCTTCCTGTAAACCTTGTTTAATTTCAATTTTCTGCCTTTAGGCCGATACGTCCTGTGTCTGTTTCTACCTCCCACGCCTTCTCTTAACCACTGCGATATGGCTTCTCTTCGTTGTTTCCAACGGCTGGATTCTCCATTCAGAATACACAGATCCACTTTTCGACTTCATTCAACATGGCGTCGTTCTTAAGGTCAGTGTCTGCTTTTTTTGTGCAGAAATTTTTTTGCCTCTGCATATTATTCACTCTTGCCTAATCAAATTAATATCCCATCCTTAAAATGGTATTTCTAAAAGTTGAATTTTGATTTGCTTATTATCAACGTTTCTCTCTTAGTGCTTATAATATGTAATTGCCGTTTCCTTATGCAGAGCTTGACAAAAGCGAAAAATCGATTCACTTCCAGGTTCAATCGAAAGCCTAATTTTATCCCTACTTAAATTTATTAGTAGAAACGCATTTAAGGCCTAACAAAATTTCTTCTATGAATTTAGGTCTTCTTTGCACTTCTCGGAGTTCTGATGTTTTTGTATCTCCTGTATTTCTTTGTTCAACTCTTCCGATCCTACTCAGAATTGAAGACAATGCCGTACTATGGTAAGCGAGTTTTCAATTTCATAAAATTTTCGTTTAAGTAGAGAAAAATGTTTTGGTTTCAATTTTTTATTGAATTAGTAATTGTTTTTTGGTTTGGTTTTTCTCCAATTCTAGTTTTACGTCTGACTTTTCTGCTCATTCCAATGCTCTTCTCTGCGGTTAACTTCCTGATCATTCTGGCACTTCGCTTCAGTCCAACTGGATCCGTTTTCTTCCTTCGAGCACCCACATATATGCTGGTAAACCCCAATAGCACTTCGGAACACCAACGTCCTTTTACGCCAAGCTATGCAGCTTTTCCAGCGTTCCGATCTGCGATAGAACTGGGTCTTAGTTTTGGAATCGCTTTTAGCTTCTGTCTTCTAATGACTAAGGCGTACTTACCGCCAAAAACGTCCCTTGCAGGTATGACATTGTAGTTTTGTTTTGTTTTACTGGAAGCTCATCAGATATTACGCGTGCATTCTTTCCTCTTCAGAGGTTAACCTCAAAGATGATCCCTCGATTTCTCTCGCTTGCGATTCCGATGAAGACGTGATGTTCGGGTAAGCCACTCTTTCACCCAATGCGTCTTTACTGGCCCCAAATTTTCTTGATCTACGTTTATTTTTCATATTCTCCCTCTGTTTAGTTCCGATCGTGATGATATTCAACTGCGTAGAACTGCTCGCAATCGTTGAGGACTTAAAGCCCATTGTTTGAGTCCCTTTCTTTCCAATGACCACAATCCTCGAACTTTCCTTTTTTGTGTATTTTGTCCTATAATTTTTGACTTGATATCCATGCTTCTAATTGTTGCTCACGTCTTACTGTCCATTTTGCGAATTTCTACTTTCCTATTTTGTCTGTGTCATGTGAATAAATATACCGGGATTTTTTGAAAATCCGCCCACAGCGGTTTAACGTAAAATTCCATTTCATGGAACTATTTTTGGAACTAAATCACTCCCCGCCCTAATAAGCGCTCACGGTGGATAATACAGAAGTTGAATATATATATATATATATATATATATATATAGCGCACGAGTATTGTACGTTCCGAATGACTCATCACGCATGTGGTGAGTCAAACTCCAACCCGGTATTTGCGTTTTAAAGGTCGATCTTCGAATTTCGAGTTGATTGATTTTGGGTCTTACTCAAGCCTGAAATCTAGTCTTTGGTCCTAAGATAGAAAGCAGTTNAACTGCTTTCTATCTTAGGACCAAAGACTAGATTTCAGGCTTGAGTAAGACCCAAAATCAATCAACTCGAAATTCGAAGATCGACCTTTAAAACGCAAATACCGGGTTGGAGTTTGACTCACCACATGCGTGATGAGTCATTCGGAACGTACAATACTCGTGCGCTATATATATATATATATATATATATATATATTTATATCAAATGGCAGGCGTTGTGCAAGTTATCATTAGCCCTTTAGTTTACTTCAGGCTTCACAGAGGAGGAGGAACATCAAAGTGAAACAAGTCGAGAAAAAGAGGGGGAACAGAAGAGAGTTTCAAAGATGTAAAAGAGACAGATACAAAAGGGGAAAGGTGATGTGAGTACTGTGGAAGTAGTCGATTATGACATACAATGGG